AGGTGTCAATGGTTATACAGCTGCTGCTATTTGCTAAGTAGTCAAATAAACATGAAACTACCCTACACAATGTACAATGATGCTTTTAGTAATATTGCTTAGGTTTTAGTACAATACTTACAGCCATATTTGCTGTAGGCTGGAAGAGTAATTGTGTGTGTGTATATATATATATATATATATATATATATATTGCAAATTGTGGTGTCTGTCTGAGTGTTCATCTGTCTCCCGTTTACGGCAGTTGCTTCCTGCACTGTGTTTGAATAGCTTTGCATGCCAGCAAAGCTCAACATTCACTTTTGAAATGACAGGAGAACATGCATGAATAACGTTGATGCCAAATTTTACTGCGCAAGCAGGATATTATACACTAAATTGTTAGAAATTAATCACATTATCATTCACATTTCAAAATGTGTCGTAACTTAAAGAATAAAAATGTGGATTTACCATATGTTGTTGTTGAGCAGCTCTTAGTATGATTGAATTGCTCAACAATTACTTTTCGTGGTGGGTGGTATATGTAGCTCAGAGTTTTGGCTGTGAGTGAAACCAAGAGTGCAACACAAGTAACCTTTTTAAAGTAAATGAAATAACTTAGATTGATAATTAACTTAAACTTTCCATTCACTGGGGATGGGTACTTTTGTTTGTATTAAATAATAATGAAGAACAAATGGACGATCTCTATTATGGACCACTACCATGGTTCATGATAAATAAGATCATTTTGAAAGCAGTTTTTTCTATTTAAATCTCTTTCTCTTATCCAACATAGTCAATTACACAACTGATTATTTTAATTCAGAACATGCATATTCTATTAAAAGTAAAATTTTTGGTATTAAAAATTATTACAACGTTGATTATGTAAGCAGTTTGATTGTTTAAAGATGGATCCCCCCCATCTAATTTCCTATTGATAGAATTCTTAAAAACAGTACGTCTTTTCTTTCACTATTGGTACCTTTATGTATTTTTATTGCACTTTTAATTTTTATTATGTTAAAAAAAAACAATAGTAGCACAATTTCCTACCCTTTGTTACAAACAAGTTTTTGTGTCACCCGTATAACGGACAGGTACTCCAGCTAATTATTATTATTTAATCATAGATGCTTAAGTTTTAGTTAATTTTCTTAAAACATAACACTGTAAGTAAAAAGTATCTAGAAAAAAATTAATTTCTAGTACGTATGATGTTCCAAAATTGATTTGTACTTTCTTGTAATACTTGCTAAGCCTTGTTTATTCTTTAAAGTAGAGGGAGAAAACAAATTAATTTTTTGGATTTCAGAGATCATTTTTGAAAAACAAAAAATTATCAAATCATTATACTGGTACACACAAAATGATTGTAATTTACCTGGCTTTCTAACTAAGCTATATGTGGGTTAAAAAATCTTGTTTCTCTTCAGAGCAATGATTTATTCAATAGACTTCAACATTTACAGCCAGATACAATTTTGCCCTTCAACTCTGTTAGAAACAACTGTCAGATTTACATAGTTTGGAATGTGCTCTTTCTATTAATTACAGATATTTACTTAAGAGAAGTAGGTATGAGTAGACAAGGGGTTTCAAAAGAATGGAGTTGTGGGTGGGGCTACCTTCATAGGTATATTGTTGTTTCAGTTTCTAATTTCTTAAACGTATGGTAGGCATAATAAAACATAAACTGAGCAATAAGACAAAAAAACATTTTTAATATTTTCTCTTTAATTAAGAAATTAAAACATTAAATTTTGAAAATAACTAAATTGTTGTGACATGCACCTTTTGACTTGTCCATTGAGAAAGCATTGAAATGAGGGTTTTTCAAAAATAGTTGTCTTTCTCTAGACTGTGAAGTGTCTTCTTATCGTTCCCAATCCTGAATCGGCACTAAATGAGGAGGCAGGAAAACTTCTGTTGGAAAGATATGACGACTACTGCCAGCGAGCAAAAATGATGACCGAAATTCATGCTCGCCCTCCAAAACTTGCAAAAGAAGGTCTTGAGATGGATCCAGCATCTTCGTCAGCAGGTACCATAGTCAAGGGTGTTGAAGGTCCAATGGCCAAAAAACATGCCTCTGAGAAAAGTAAAACAATAGCAGAAAAGAAAAACTTGAAAATTATGAAAGAAAAGAAGAGAACCTTGAAGAGGTTATGAGGGTATAATGTATTGTCAGCCATTTTTAATTATTAGTGAGATGGGCAGATACAGAAATAAAAACATATCGTGTATGCCCATTGTATGTGTGTGGGTGTACACATTTAATGTGTGATGTATATTGTTCATTTTATTGTGAAGCCCCTTATGTACAAAATGGAAAATAACAAAACCTATTTTAAAACCCATATCAATTGCCATATTTTATAATACTAATGTATATTTGCAGTAGTAAAAATCATTTAGGCTTTCATTACATTATCATTGTAACATGAGAAGAAGGTGCATAGGAAATAGTGTCTTTTTGAAAGTGAATTAGCTTAATAGGTAAAAAATTAAGTCCCCAGAATTATAAGTCCAAGTTTCTTTTTCCTCTGGGTATTTATGTTTAGTAATTAATCAGGGATGTACAAAGTGAAGAGTAATTGCTACTTTTCTGTTTAATGTTTAAAAATTAAGATATAAATCTTTGTGTTTGGATTTATAATTGGTTTATTCATTCCTTGCTTATCATTTGGAGTTTGTGGGAAAAAAATCCCTCATATTTATACATGTGCTACTTAAGCCATCTACGTATCTAATATGTTAGGGTGGAAGTATTAAGAAGTAAAATGTGACATTATTAATGGGACATTTAACATAAGAATACTGGAATGTATAGTTTTATTAAGTAAAATTTAGTGGGGGGGAACCAATTATTCTTAAAGCTCAAATTAGGAATTTATATTTCAAAGATTTCCAATTTAGTCACCACCAGTAGGTGCATTTTGTCAGTGTAACAGGGTTAACTGTTCAAATTAATTATTGAATAATCATAATTTAATAAATGAGCATTGTTTTGAGATTTAAGTGCTATTGGCCAAGTGTAAACATGTATGTAATAATCTTAGTGCCAACATGGTTTTAACAAAGGATAACTTAAGGTTAATTATGTATGAATATGTAAACGGCTCTTTCAGAAGAATGAATAAAGTCTAATGTAAGTATGTTGTATAATGATTCAAACGTGGGCATGGTCAAAGAAATGAATGGGTATGTGAGAGTGAGCTGTTCTTGTTATGTTCTTCATAGTGGGATATAGCTGGAATTCTCTGGTTTTGTGTATTATGGTAGAAGAGTAGGAAAAATTTAGGTTAGTTTGTATACAGAGCCAGGCCTAAATCACGTGCTAATAATAAGATTAAACACCTTACTGAATAGCTTTTCCTTTATCTGTAGGCAAACTCAATTGATACAGGGATGACAATAAATGTATATTGTAAGATACCAGAAATTCTGTCTTTGTTAGCCTTGAATTTAATTGAAGTCATTCTGAATTAAAATTTTAGCATTACATTAAAAGTCATCCCCTTTTTATATACATATTTATATGTTTTAATTACGAAGTATAATATGTAACTGTGAAACCTGTTTTTAAATATTTGTTAGTGCCATTATAGCATAAAACAAGATCAACAACACATTATTGGCATGCATGTTTTATGAGTAGAGAGTGCAGTATATTGTATGCTGTAATACATTTATATCATGAGATATAGATTATTCAGTCGTTTTGTACTTGATGTTGTGGTATGGATTTTGTCATAAAATTTTCAATTCCTATCCTGTTCTAACAATGGTGTTATGTTCATGAATAATTGGGATACTGGTACGAGACTTGGATATAATGTAATGCAGGAAACTACTAATGCTTATTATCTTCATTTTATGTTTATTTCTTGGACAACATGGTGGTTACATCAAAACCTTGAGCATTGATTACTTTATAATTATAACTTTCTGTTCTGATAGCAGAGGAATTTCACTGACACACTTGGTATTGTGATTCTTTAATTGTTCACTCCAGCATTCTTTATGTCTTAAGTGTGGCGTAGTTGTTTTACAAGGAAAGAAAGTGTCAGTTAAAATTTTGCTTCTTACAAACCTTCCACATCACAAAAGGGTTCATAAAGAGGCATAGTCTAAGTGTTTCCTATTAAAAATTTCTCTGATTTTTGTGTAACTATCATATTTCATGGAACACTTCATTAAACATTCTTTTGAAAAATAAAGCTCATGATTTTTAATAGTACTTTGTGTTTAATTTGAGATTCCATATTTGATTGTGTTTGTGTTAAAAATCAACCACTGGTAGGAATTACAAACAATTGTTTAGTTGAAAATTGTGTTTTATTTACAGCATCAATTCAATAAATAAATGTATAGTAGACATTATTTAATTAATACACAAGAAACCATAATATTGGTAATTGTTGAAAATTAAAGAGCTGGGGTAATGCATAATTTCAAAAATAATTTGTTTAATTAAAAATTATTTTAAGCATAATTATCTGATTATATAGTACAAGCTGAAATACCCATTAACTGATGGGGAATGTTTAAACTTAATTAAAACAATTTAAGTTTAACAGCAATCATATATTTCAAATTAATAATTTGAACATAAACTTTATCTAAAAATTTTAAAATTATAACAAAGCTTCTTCATAAACAACATTTGCAGTTTGCTTTCCAACTACCAACAAATAAGGATTTTGAGGTGATCCCACCCTTAGGCACCCTACCTCTCATTGACCATGAGAAAAGCATGGTTGTTTGAGAAACAATCCAACAACTGTCATACTTTGACCTTGAATCCCTTTATAATATTCATTCAACATTATCTAAGGCACCAACCTGTAAAGATTGAGGTTGACTCAAAAGACTGGGAGTAATTAACCAACAAGCTTTACGAAATAGAAATAGCATTAAGTTCAATTTTGGTTGAGATTGGCCCAATAGGCTTGGAGGAGTTAGGGTGCCAACAAACATGTTTTGTATTTATTTATATATATATATATATATATATATACACACACACACATAAAACTAATTTCATCAGCTCATTTGTTTCTTCTTTCCTTAAGCCCCCGTGTAGCAACATGTCAGAATGTATTAGTATAAATTTTAATTTGAGGCTACATTATTTGTGGAGTCATAAGTAAACTTCATTGTTAAGAGTGTGGTGGGCTTTCTATAAACAAGTGTTGTCAAAACTGATTGAATACTCTTGCTTTGTGCATTTATCTTTTTAAAACTAAATCATGATTGAACTTACAACCTAATGGGTTAAGACCAAGGAAGTGCAATTAAAACGTTTTTAAATACCTTAAAAGTATTTTCAGCAGTTGGAATTAGTTTGTTTCCATTTATCAAATATGAGGTAAAAAAATTCATTTCTTCCAAAATGATTGATATTTTCCTCACAGTGACTTGTCTAAAGAATATTTAAGATATTCTGTTTAAATAAGTATTCTAAGGAATTGGAAAATTTCAAATGCCTGATACTCTGTGTGTGTGTGTGTGTGTGTATTTAAACGAATGTACTAATATCAGTTTGTTTTTGTGAGGTCTGCTAGTATATTTCAGAGACAAAATTACTTTTGTTTGATTTATACATGCACACATTTTGTTACTAGGTGTTATTAGCCATCCCCTTTTATGAAGTATACAACAAATCAGAGACCCAAACTTAAACAAAAATAGTCAACATTTGTAATATTTAAAGTTGTATGAAATTACAACTAATTTTTACAGTAAAAAACATTTTGCTACTGTGTATGCTTAGTGTGTCCAAGATAAACCAGTATTAAAGTGTTAAGAAAATTTCAGTGTGCATAAAATCTTCATATAATTCAGTACATGTATTAAATGTTTTTAGTGCTGTTAACATACTTTGTACAAAATAAAAATTGCTTTTATCTGGAAAGTGTTTGTTTTCTTCATAAATACTAGATTGGTATGTTTTTATATGGGGTGGGAAATACGAAGACATGGGTAAAAAGTGTATAATTTTATATAAATATAGTTTTCCCAAAAATCAGTCAATTTAATTAAAAATATTTCCTAGGATGATGACCGGACATACCAGAGTAGAATTCTCCAAAACCTTATTTTTTACTTAAAATATTACAGGTTTGTACATCAGTGTTACAAACTGTTGATTTGCATGTTGAAATAGTTTCTGTTGTCAGGCAGATCCTGTTGGATTATTAGATAAAAAATGCAAAGTCAAGTCTTACTACTCAGTGATAAAGAAGCTGTTTTATTTCCATAAGTTCCATGTAAATATGAGCCTAACTTTAAATGAAAGCTAAATTGCTACTAACTTCTCCCATATCTCTAGTTCTTTGTTGAAATACAAACTCAGAATTTACTAAGTTCTTCATAAGAACTGATTGCTGACTCTAATTATTGGTTAAAGTACAATTCTGATTAATTGTTTGTTTTTTTATAAAACGAAAACTGTTACATACCTCAGTTACAGATGGGGACCATTTATTTGTGGTATAAATCCAAACACTCAACTGATGTTGCTAAAGTGATGTTATCAACTTCTAAAGCTATTTCATTGGCTCCATTTGCAGCTAGTCATACAGTTTAGGCAATTATCCAGGTCAGAAAACATGGGGGCCAAGAAAAGGAAGAATTAAAAGACTGCTTTCTATCAAAATATGGATTCATAGCACATACTAGAAACTTGATTGATGTTATTTGTATGAGAAGATTTTTTTATTTATAAAAAGAGCCGCGGTATATCTTGAAATGAGCAGTTTTTAAATTGACACGTGATCTGGGTCTACACACCTTAAAGATATTTTTGATGCTTTTGGCAAACATTTAGGTTCTGACAAGGGTCATAGGCTTGTTTAGGTCTATACTGCTTGTAGAAACTTAGGGATATGTCATGGTGTGGCTCTGATATCAAGTTTGTTTTGTATTAAAACTAATAACTATGAATGATTTGTTTGATTTTGATGTATAGTCCTTTGCTTGCCACTAATAATTAACTGTGACAGTATGTCACATGTTATACAATCATCTGAAGTATCTTAAGTTACTAGTGGTAAGTAAAGAACCAAAACTATTTACATTCCATCACTAAATGAGGCCTATTTTGTTTGCTTTGTTTTTCAAAACAGCACTGATTGGCTGTGAATTCTGCAAAGCTATACTACAGTGGAAGTAGGAAACCAAAGAATAAATTAGGCCTCAATACATATTTTCTTAACTGAAATTTGGTGAGGGGAAAAAATTGACATAATAATAAATTATTACACACTTCCTTCTGATTCGTATATCAACAAGCTGTCAATCATTAACTCTTAGTTTGCTGTGGACACAACTTCATGGTTCTGTAAAAACCCATATCTTAATTTTTTTCCATTGGTTGATATTCAGGTACTGTTAGAGTAGAAATGATAATCAATGAACCTTTAATTAAGAGTTTAGGTTTAAGATAATTTATTTATAAAGCCAGTTGGCTGTTCTCTCACCAGTGTATTTCAAAAGAAAATCATGGTGGATGACCTTTGCCTTTCATGGTGATGTGAAAGTACCATCTCCACGGTTAAGAAGATGCTGTAATACAGTTTAGAATCCAGATGGACAGGCAATCCTGAAATCTAGTCCTGTTAGTAACATTTTCATCATAATGGCTTTTCATTTTATCAATTGCTGATTTAATTCTTAGATTAGAGTCATGTATGGAAGATTTGGATGCTAAGACAAGGAAATAGTTGTAGTTATAGGTTATAACATTCGTTTGGAGAAGTTAAGTATATTTCAATATTTGTAAATTTTATAGTGTTTTTTTTAAATTTAAAAGCATAAGTTACTGTGTATTATTATTATTATTTGATAACTACTGAGAATGTAATACATTAGTAGGTTTAAATTATCATTTAGTTGAGTGTAACTAGAAATGCATTGTACATCATAGCTGTGGTACTGAAATTTGTAATTAATGAAATAAGTACTGGTTAGTAGAAGATTCTGTTGTTATGTTTATGTACATTTTAATACAGTTTGGGTTAGTGGGTATAATAACAATTTTAGCCATAATTTAAGCTTATTCAGTTATTGGTAAGTTATAAAACAGGATAAATTATATTATTACATAAATGTAATCTAAAGACTGGTTATTTGACACTTCTTGTTATAAAGACAAACTTGGTTACTTTAGTGAAAAGATAAGGTAATAATAAAAGTGTTAATATATTTAACTCAAATGTTAGGCTTAACAGTGTTATCAGTAGGCTACTTGTATTTAGTGTTATTTATTATTAAGCTACAGTGGTTAAAAGTAGTGTAAATGTAGTGCTAGTAAGGTACGATATGTGTAAGGAATGAGTTTTATTTGGTAACTTGGAACTGGTATTCACATTTATGGAAGCTAGTAGTGAAGATATACAATTTATATATATAGTTGGTAGTTTGGAGAAATTGAAGGCTATCCTAAATAGAGTAAAGGATAAACTGTGGAAAATGGCAGCAAGATTTAAAGAACTTAAGCTTTTGCATGCAAAAGATACAGTGGCTTATAATGACTCAGGAAATTGAAAACAGTACTAATAGGGCTAGTATTAGAGGATTTATTTATAATGATCAGATTCTTTCAAGTAATAGATTTCAGCCATTAGCTTGTGCAGATGAGGAACTAGGGGAGGTAAGGGTAATAAAAGGAACGAGTAGGAATGTGAATGTAAAACATAAGGAGGTTATAATTATAGGTGATTCTTTAGTACAGCACATGGATAGAGTAAACAGGGAGAACATAATTATGCTATCTTGGGGTAGGGGTGGAGGACTTAACCAACAGAGCAAGTGTTATAGTGTTGCAGTCTTTGTAGTATGCATAAGGGTTAATGATGTAGGGAATGTTAGGTTAAGTGAGTCTCAGGCCTGAATGCTTGTCGTAGGCTAATATTGTAAGGATGAGCAAGTTGGATGGATTTATGGGATCAATTCAATAAGCTAGGGGCTAGTTTGCTTGCAAGGGATATTAACTGTAGGGACAGTTTTAAACTGGACTAGATGTCAGTGAGGGCCAGAATAATGAACAAAATATGTTGAAAGTACAAAAGTGGTTTTAGTAGTAGGCTAAACTGATATTAGAGCATGATTGGAATGGAGGATTTTGACGTAATTGGAATATCTGAAACTTAGCTAAATTTAGACATTTATGATGATAGGATTTCTTTGAAATACAGTGTTATAGGCTTAATAGGGACAGAGTAGTAAAAAA